CTGAAGCAGAAGAGGTTCCAGTTGAACGGGAGGAAGAACTTGTTGACTGTGAGGGTGCCCGAGCCCTGGCCCAGGCTGCCCAGGGGGCTGTGGAGTCTCCTTCTCTGGAGGTATTCAACCCCCGCCTGGACGCTGTCCTGTGCCCCCTGCTCTGGGTGAGCCTGCTTGAGCAGGGGGGTTGGACTAGATGATCTCCTGATGTCCCTTCCAACCCCTGCCATTCTGTGATGCTGTGTGATTCTGTGATTCTTCCTGAGATATAGTTACTTCTGATTTACCAATACCAACAGGAACGTGGAGCACCCTCCTCATTCCTCCCTATTTTTCAGAGGACGGGAGGATTCAAATATTTTGAAAGCCATCCATCCACCTTACCTAACTCACCTCCAAAGGAGGACGGGGGCTCAGTTTAATCCACACTTAGAAGCAACTCAATATTTGAATGCCAATATTAAGAAGCTATCCAGAACAGCTTCACCTTCACCAAGTCCAAGCTCCATCAAGCTTGGTTAAGACTCACTTTTCAAACCATCTGCTGAAGCGAGGGACTGAGATCAGTTTACCTGTAACTTAGACCAGGGACACGGCTGGGCTTAGGGCACCCCAGCCACGTCCCCGCTGCCTTCCCCCTCTGTATTTCACTTTCCTGATGCGCTGCTTTGCTTTGGGTGGGAGCCTGGCAGCATCAGCGATGACATTTTAGCACCTACCTCCAGAAGAAGAGGTCCCAGAGACTCCTTCTCGATCACCCCTTGGCTGCTGGACGAGATGTCGGACTTCTGGACTTCATCATCAGCTGCTTTCTCTGTAGCAAAGGAAAAGGGAGGTTTCAGCCAAAATAACCGTCATTTTACTACTGAATTCTTACCAGCAATGAACACAACATTGACCGCTTGTCATGCAGGCAAGGTAGGACATGCCCCAAAAGGCTCCAGCATTTTCATTTCAACCCTCAGTCCCGTGAAGGTAGAATGTAATTTCTCATTATTTACTAAGTGTTATAAAATAAAGGCACTAATGAGATTGCAGCCTCCTGCTAGCAGGAAGGAAAAACCCGTCTTAAGCAGAAGCCTGCAGAAAGAGGCCTCCAAAGTCAACATTTTGGAAAGGAAATGGTATATCCAGTTTAGCGCGAGCTACAGTATTTGATCTGGAACGTCTCGGACAACACTTTAGGAAATAACTGCCAGGAGGAATCCACGGAGGATGGGCTGTGCCAAAGGAAACCTGCTGGAGAATAAAAAGCAGCTCTGACCACTGATGTGCAGGGAGCATCCCGGATGCTGGTCAGCCGGGAGCCAGCGGGGCTGGGGGTGGGAGGAGAGCATCCGACACGGAGTGGGCGATGCTGCTGGAGGAGCCCAGCCCCAGCCCGGCCAGAAGCTGGCCTGCTGAATAATCCCTTTGGGAAAAAAACCAACCCAAAAAAACCCAGAAAGAAGGCCCTGTTATTTATCTCGCACTCCCCCAAAAGGTGCTAGCCACGTCGCGCAGCTACTCCGAGGAATTCGGGATAAATCCAGCAGTGAAAGGCGGGTGGCAAGTGGGATGTGATAAAGCCGGTGATTACAGGCAAGCGAGCCACGCTGCCGCTGGTGTCTCAGGGCTCTTTTGGTTTGCTCC